CCCCCCCCCCATTCTGACACAAATATCTGACAGTATATTCTGACATCAGTAATGTGACCTTCCATGGCAGGGTTATGTCACAGAACTTCTGCTGACATTGGAAGCTGCTGTTGATTCTCTGGAGTCCGACTTCCGACCGTTGGACTTCATGAAGGAGATCTTCAAGTCCACTCCTAATCTCAACAACAAGGAACCGGTAGGCAGTAGTGGTGTGGTCGGTGGTAAGCGAAGTCCTGGGTGCGGTGTGGGGTACGTGTGCAGCTCAGGACCATTGGCACAACATCTTGGTCAGGCTGGCCACGCGCGCAGTACCAGCTACTCGGTGTCCTACTGCATGCGCAAAGCTTCTGGATCTCCTGCTACTGACAACAAAGGTACCTCACTCAGTGAATTTTATTCACAAGGATGCTGATGGATGATTATGATAACATTTTCTTTTAAAGCACACCAGTTGTCTTCCTTTGTCACTCTTTCAGTTTTGGGGTTCTTTGTTCCAAATATGGATTTATTAATTCACACTGTTTACAATTAATTATGTTTGCAGTATATGTAGAGATCTCATTAAGGGAGATAGGGGAGCATCTTGGCCAATAAAATTCCATGTCCTTCCATTTCATCTGAGATCCCGTGATTGTAGTCGTGCACTTCTAGCCAAGAAGCTGTTGGAGATATCACAAATAAAATTCCATGTCCTTCCATTTCATTTGAGATCCCGTGATTGTAGTCGTGCACGCCTAGCCAAGAAGCTGTTGGAGACATCACGTGCGATAGCGAGTTGTGTGCGCAGCCACCCTCCGTCCAGCTTTTGTGGCTAGTATTCGTGACATTATAAAAGCTCGTGTGTTGGAGAACCTTTTTCGTACAGAGGCAGAAACCCGCTATACTTTTTAAAAGTAAAGAAAAATAAGTTTCTATTATGACATGTATATTACAGTTAGCCCTTGCATTGAAATATCATGTCTTAGTCATGGGGTAAAATGATGTTTTTTATTAACTTCCTCATAAATGGCTTATTAAGATTTATTTCACCTCCTGAATTAATATTTAATTATTTATTGTGCCTTGTATACTCAATCGCTTTTCAGATATTCGTGGCCGAACATCATCAGAACTGGAGGCACGCTCAGGTTGCAGTCTCAACAAATACTCTACAAATCTCTCTCGTTCACGGTCAGCACAGTCATTGAAATTACTGGGTGACTCAGCCTCTCAGGATGACAAGATGACTATCTTGGCCCAGTTGTTTTGGCTCTCAGTTTCTCTTCTTGAATCAGATTATGAACACGAATTTCTTCTGGCTTTGAGATTATTAAGTCGGGTCTTGCATCGGTTGCCACTAGACCGTCCAGATGCTCGTGATAAAGTCGAGAAATTGCAGGCCCAGTTGAAATGGACAGCATTTCCAGGAGTCCATGCTCTGCTTCTTAAGGTATTTAAATTCCCACTTATGTCCCCAGGAAGTTTGAAATTGTTCATATCTAAGCAAAATTAGTATAGATAATTATTGGTAGTGGAAGTATTCTTGGTATTTGTAAGTTATTGAATAATTTTGGGGACTGTTTTGTTTGCATTGGTTGTATGTTTGACGGCAAAAGTGGGTACCCGTGGAAACCGAAGTCACGAATTCTTTATAGCTGTTATTCATTTAATTCCAGTACATTATTAAGGAAGTGGGAACTGTAATGAAAACTTTGCATATGTTGATTTGGGGAATTTTGTTTAACAATTTTGAAACTGACCGTAGTGGTGCAACTTTGATTCCTGGTGAGTCACTGATTAAAAACAGTAGCACCGCCATAGTTGCTCTGTGTGTAACTGGCCGTAACAATTATTCTTAATGTCCGCAGGGTTGCACTAGTCCAAACACGTATGAGCCGGTGGTAACACTGCTCTCGCAGTTTACTCCACTGCTGGACCTACCTGTGGTTGACCCTACTCAGAGCTTAGCATTCCCAATGAATGTTGTAGCATTACTTCCTTATATGTTGCTCAATTATGAAGATGCTAATGAGCTTTGCATTCGGAGTGCAGAGAACATAGCTCAGGTAAGTTCCTCAGCTCTGTTGGGTCCAGTCAGTAGAGCCCGACAGAGTACATTTTTACCTGGGGATGGAAAGAGACTCCATTATCCAAAATGTTGTGTCCTATTTGTAGTAAGATGATGAATAGTGTCCAGAACAATGTTGTTTCAGTAATACACCTTCTTTACATACCTGTGCTTCACTTTACGAATGTAGTCCGCCCATTAGTTTCCTCTTCTGTATAATGTTGTTAAAGAAATTGTGTGTGAGGGTGTGCACACAGTTAAAAAAACCTTCAAGTTCCAAGGAGTAGGGAATTTCTTGAGTACTTGAGCAAGTATAAACCTTTTGGGAAGTTTTGTACACCGTTAAGTTAGTATGGAAACATAATTCAGGCCCTGGTTTGAGGTTTGCTGATGGCACTGGTTCCAGGCAAGCACCGAAAAGAGCAAGAAACTTGAGAACCTGGGAACTGTGATGACGCTGTACAGCCGTCGCACATTCAGCAAAGAGAGCTTCCAGTGGACTAAGTGTGTTGTCAAGTACCTGTATGACACGTACGCACATCTCAGTCTCAACATGTTAGCCTTCCTAGTTGAGGTAAAGTCATGTACTTTTATTCTTAGGTTGTCATTTCACCCACACAGCAAGTTTTATGATTATGAATGCTAAATTGTGAACTTATTTGAGTCAGATAACATTTGTGTATTCTGAAGTAATATGTTGAAAAGTATGAAGAATTAGTCTTCATCACATTGTAACACTTACATCAAGGTCACTGTAATATATTGGACTGAAAACGTGGTCATTGTAATATTTTGGCACTCTGATTTTACATTGTTAGTGTAGTTTCACTGTAAATATTATGGATGCAGTTGAATAAATAGACTTTTAGGCCTTACAGCTAGATGCCAGTATATGACAGCATAGTAGAAAGATATTAAATAATCAAATGAGTGTTATTTTTCAGTCTTTTGAAGTTCTTTACGGTGTGGTTGCTTTTTTAAATTTGCGTCTGTTTTGTTGCTGGTGTAAAATAGTGAAGAACACTTGAGAAGTCTTTTCTGGCTGGCAGAAAACAGTGAAAATCATCTAGTACACTGGTTGACACTAGTACATATGCACGTGACTGGTACAAGTAGAAAATAATAAATGTTTACGTGCAAATAATAGGTTCTAGAGAAAGGGCCGACATCAGTTCAGCTTCCTGTGCTGAGTATTATCCACAGCATGTTGCATTATGTAGACCTGGCATCAGCAGCAGCTCAGCCGATCAATGCTGATTTGCTGCGGGTTATAGCGAAATACATTGAGGTAAGTATTTGTTTTTAGGAGTGTCAGAAATGATTGCTGTTAAAAGCGACGAGCTGTATTAACTCACTCCATTGAGCAAATTCCTTCTTGAGAAGATTGTATTTGCACACTGCTAGTCAAATAATTCACCACCTTGTGTGAGACCCAAGGTTCATTACCCTGTTCTCATTAGCTTGTTCCTAGACATTATCCTGAACTAGATGAATCCAGTGAACATCATCATGCCGTATTTTCTTAAAATCCGTTACACCTGAGAAGACCTCATTGTGTTCAATCTTCCCGAAAGCTTTGCGTCTTATGTTAGAGTAAATTTTTGTTACATAAATTTGCATATAAATTGGCCAGATATTAATGGAGCATGTGTTTAATTATTTAAATATTGCTGCTACCCTATCATTTTGCAATAATGTTAAAACAAAGCAAGTTTTTCTGCAAAATGTTATTATTCCAAAGTACTAATTATGTTCTTCCTGTCTGGAAATGGTTTGTAGTAAAGAAATGAAGTAAAGATGATGATAGTTGTGACACACGTGGTTCATATTAATGGTAATCTTTGATTTGTACAGGGTGTTCACTACAAAGAAGCTCTGAAGATATTAAAATTGGTGGTGACGCGCTCGTCTACATTGGTTGCTCCTCCAACATCTCTCCATCCTCCTCACTGGGAGGCTTCTGCTACTTCGCTACACCCTTCATTCACAGATAGCGAGACGTTCACCAAGAAAGAATTGCCAGGTATGTTACCACTTCGTTTGACAGAGCCAACAAGTTATGAACATTTTTGCTTCTAGTGATTATCATATTATCAACTACAGTAAGGGTCTGGTGTGAAATGTGTATGACCTTTAATAACATTTCCATTTGTATGAACATTTTATGCATGTTCAATATAATGATGTTAAACATAGAAATATTTAGATACTGATTATTTTCAGTTTGAAGAGTGTAATATGTAGAAATTAAGTTATTAAGCAGTATTTTTCATAAACATTGTTTGTACTTAAATTTGATGTTAATTTTGTATTGTTAAATTAATAAAACCTTTTATTTCTTTGCAGTAAATTTAATGAATTACAATCATTGGCTTTTGAATCATTCATTTAAATTCCTAGTCTTTCCTTTGTGCACACAAAGCAATCTAAAAGTACCGTCGTGTTTTGTTCAGGCCGAACAATGGATTTCACATTTGACCTCTCTCAAACGCCGGTGATAGGACGTCGGTTCCTTGTCAGAACAGATGAGAAGGGGCCTAGCAGTGGATCAGCAGCTTCTCCTAGGCGGTCCGTTTCTTTATCACCTGCAGATAGTGCCAGTATTGCCGGTTGGAAACGACCGTGGATGTCACAGGTGCGATTACATTGTCAACTATTCAGTACCCTTCTGCATTTTTATCAACTCATTCCAAACCAGTACTTAAGCCAAACACACTCAGCTTTCAGTTTACCAAAGGATAGGAAGGAATGGTAAATGAAATTTGTTACAAATTTTAAAACTCAGTCTAAATCATATCTTGTTATTTTAAATCTCTGCAGTGATTGTGGTTTGGACTCAACAGGCTTGGGATTTGGTCTAGTGGTAGCTTTTGTGAACATGATGATGAACCTTCAAATTCCTCTAAGGTGAGAATTTCTTGATTAACTGAGCATACAATCACTTTTCGAAGAGGAATGACACAGTTAAAGTATCTAGTGAAAAAGTAGTCGAGTGGTCTTTGAAGATCTCAGGAAAGATGTTTTTCGCAGGCACACATAAAATTGAATGGAATAGCGAGACGTGTCAATGTTTTTGGCTATAACTTTGCCCTGTTAGGGAACAGTGCGTTATTGTGTTACAAGTAGGCCGTTTCATTTTGTATATTACAGTGTACAATCTAGACCGTGATCTAATTCTGATGTGTAACATTGAATAATACGTAAGTAGACAAATCATTTGGTCCATACTTCAGTGCCCTTGTACAATTAGGGCTGAAAATAGGATGATTTTTAAAAAGTAAGACTGACGTAGATAGGTGTATACAGTTCCTCCAGCTTGCATCCTGCGTTTGTTTGTTGGAAACAAATTTAAATGAGATGGCGCCGTTTCCACAATATTGTGATTAAATTACATCTAAAATTTATATATTTTTCTTGAGCAGGGGCGTGTACGCGAGTGCTTGGTGAATCTCCTTACAACATGTGGGCAGAGAGTAGGTCTGCCCAAGAGCCCATCTGTAAGTACCATACTCTGCATGCTCACGTCCAGAATACTCTCGGTTAATATTAACAATTTTTTACTTCAATGCATGAGAAGCAAGCCATACTGCTGTTAACGAGATTGTGTGTTATTAAAACTAGTGGCATTACTGGAATGACAGTATGTGGTGTCATGTATCTGTACTCTTTATCTCACTCTTTATTCTTATTAACAATGATGTCTGTAGTTTTTAATGAAACCAATTAAGTGTGGAGCACATCCTATGCAAAAACAGTTATTTCCTGCAAAAAATAGTGAGACTGTGTTCACTGTGCAGCTGAACTTGGCCAAAAAAGAAAATCCATTTCCATATTGTGATAAATCATTACGTTCAAAGCTAAGATGTTCAAAATCCTCTCAGGAGGACTCGGAAACAGCCTGTCCGTCTTATATACAATAAAAATGTAAGGTTCTGAAAGAGGTACATAATTTTTAATATATGTAATAAATCCCTAAATCTACCTGAAAAGATTACCAAATTTGTCAGAAGTGTATGCACTTTTACCATAGATTTGATGATCTGTAAATGTTATATTACCTTGCAGAAATATATTTATCAATTTAAATTTTATAATGCTAAAGTGCCTTGTAAACAGATAGTGTGTGTTTTATTGAAGGAAAAACATTGAATTTTTACTAGCATTTTTGGTACAGTATGGTAATGGTAATGACTTGGAAGTTGGTAGTTGCCTTGTTAAGATAATAGTGCTGTAGTTCAGTCCGCAGGAGAATGATGTGCTAGCAGTAATAATAGTTTGATGTGATGTCAGTGATGGAAATTAATATGGAGATAAAATGCTGATGGCATGGCTAGGATTTTGCAAAGGTTCTGGGTATCAAAGAATTATTACTATCATTATTGTTATTATGCAAAATGGGGTCTGCTTCCGGCCGGGCTCGAATTTTTATACTTCCATCACTGTTAATTGAGTGCTGTAGTTTTTAATGTTTGGTCTCTCTCATTTGTTTTCCATATCTGATGGTGGTTGTCACCTGTATCTAGGATGGTTTTATTAACACAATTAATAAGGTAAAAACTCACTTAGCCATTTACCTGTAAGTTGTTAAATATTTATTTTCTTTTTGTGCAAAAATTAAGCTTTTGGTGGTGGAAGATGCATGACTCCTTGATTGTACAACACATCATATTTATAGACAGATTTCAGATAGTGATGAAACAGACACTGTAATGTAACATAGAGAAATAAGATAATTCCTAGGTGATTACGATCACATAATGAATAGAACTTAAGTGCAGTGGAAGCCTGTGGAAATCTTATCACAGGATTGCAAGGTATTAATGGCAGTTTTCATTGTTTGCCATGAAACAGTGCATTGCAGCATAAAAATTTTATTCTTGTACATTGGCATATTGTTTGTAATTCTAACTCATTCTATGTTGACCTCTTTAGCTACTACTTTAGTAATTCCTTTTAATGTTCACTTTCTTTTTCATCATCCTCTGCATACATAGAGAAAAAAAACACCTACAAAAATAAGCCGTCGGTGGACTAGTGGTTAGTGTACTCGCCACTGGACCCAAGGTTCGCGGGTTCAAACCCCGGCCGCGGTCGTTTGGTGATAAAAATGTATAGCACAATTTCCTTCTGAGGTGAAGTAAAGCCGGCAGTCCCACGTCATGGATTTATGGCATGTAAAATGACCTTACGAGCATGACACGAGATGTTTCGTAAGAAAAATTCAGCGGCCATTTCTCACACATGTCTCTCCTGAGTCTCTACTAGATGGCTCTAGCAAACAAATCAGGTTTGAGTAGAAATTGTGCAGAGGCAGTGGGCTTGTCACTCACTACTCAAATGCACCCTACAAGAATAATAAGGACAGTTTGCCTTGAGCAACTGTCCCGGAATGGGTCAATACACCCAATATCCCCAGGACTCAAGGACATACACACAGGTTTTCACTGCTTCAAAATTTGTCAGGTAACATATCTGACGTTTCTGCATATGTAACGTTGTTTTATAAAGTTGATATTCAACGTATAACATTAAAAACACTTTGCATCAGTTTCAGTAAATAGCTCACTCTTGAGTTTTCTATCCTCACACTGTACAGATTCTGACTGATACAGATCTGATTTACCTCTTTGCGGTAGGAGTTGGTTGCACTTGCGATAACCCGTATAACTTGCTTTGTACAAGTATTTTGTTCAACACTGTACCATCTGATCTACAGACTTCTGCAAGTCAATTACACATCTGTAAGAAACATTTAATAATACACAATGCACTGCTATTATTTTATCATTTGTACTCTCCACTCTTACACACTAATTCAAGTGGCCCTGGTATCTTAGTTTGTGGATACGCTTCTTCTAGCATTGAATGATATGAGAGAAATGGCAAGTTTTGTACCTGATTTATTGTGGCACAAGTAATCTCGGATTGTGAGATGACGTTGGTGTTTTGACACATATTCTTCTGTCATTTAATTTTGTATGTTCTGACATTTACTGCTATGTCATTCAAAAGATGTAGTAATTTGCATAATATATTATTTTGCAATGTCTTGATATAGTAAATGAATCTGTAACACAAAGTTATGTCATTCTAAAGATAAACTTATCTTAAAATTCTGTTTCTATAGAAAAGTATCATCATGGAAAGATTTTAATCAGTAAATATTCAAATATTATTTCATGCGAGATGTAGTAAGTGGCAAATATAGGATGTCGGTGTGTAAGTAGGAGCTCTGATATTTGTACCAGTTGACAGTGTTGTTAGTGCTGAGAAAGAGATGGAGGTGGGATAACAAGAAATGAGTATGGGAAATCTATGCGAAGCCCAAAAGCAGACGGAATAAACCTTGGCGAAGCTGGTTGTGTGGGTGGGAGTTAAAAGGAACTGGTTCAGGACAACATCCATTAGCAGTCTAAGCATTTTTGACCTTTGGGTTCTATTACCAGAGGATTAGTTTGTTGGTTAATTAGTAGAAACATTTCCTTTTTGGTTGGGGGGGGGGGGCATGAAAGGTTATGATGCTGAAGTTACAACAGCAATAATAATTTTGGTGATGATGATGATGATAATATGTGCACTAGTCTTATTATATTTTTCAATAGAAACAGTGGAGTTTTTAAAGTTAAATAGTCACTTAATCTGTAACATTTTTGAAGCCACACTTCATGAAAATAGCAGTTGTAAACTGTGCTATTAAGTGGATATGTTGTTCTACTTATTTCTTAGTTTATAATTAGAAAATTTCTTACTAGACTTCTTAGTTCCACTTTGAGGTAAATGGTATCAGAACTGATTGATTTTACCTTGCAAGTGTAACTTTGGTTTCTAACACATAATAGAGTATCTGAAGTATTCAAAATAATTGTACACAACTACCAAAAAAAAAGAAGTGAGCCACATTTTGATATGCGTTCATACATGTGTACAATCTTGAAGTCATGTTGTGTTGTGTGTGCCATGTCTCCAGCTCCTGTTATTGATGGTACAATTTTCTTCGTATGTGGTCATAGAGAAGAAAATTGGGCATTAGAAACCAGCATATAATGTTTAATAGAACCAACCTTCTTGCAGATTTTTAACACCTTCTGTAGCAGCTCTTACCTGACTGTAAGATGACCCCCACTTCAAAGTGACAAATTTTAAGAAAGAATAATTTTGAGATTTTAGGTTCTCAAGGTGATGAGCATGAAGGTGGCTGTCCTCTGGAATGTTGCACTATCTAGTCTGGTAGATGCTGACTGACATTTCAAACGAGCTTGTTTATAGTTGATAGGCTCATTTACCGGAAGCACTTTTAAAGCAGTCTGACTCTTGAAAAGAGTAACATTGATCCCTTATAAATGTTCAGAAATAGCACTAATATAATATATTATAAATCATTTCAAAACAATCAACCACAATGGATCACTGTGTTTTCATAAATAAGTGTTGGAAATATTGCGTTATATCTGATTGATGTTGTACGGATAAAATATGCGCAATTGTTGTGTTAATAGTAATGGGCATCAGATGATTCCAGGAATAAATATTCCTAGTCACTGAATTTATTTTATTTTTATCCATTTTTCTTCGCTTATAGATATTTTGTAATTATAGTTAAAAAGGTGTTATCTTATAGTCAGGTAAATGCAGTATATGAAACTGTGGCTTGTGCTAATTAGCTTGTACATATACTGGCTTAAATTCATCGCACTAAGTAGAATGAGTCAAACTGATGAGATATATTAATGTTATGTTTTAAACCCTACTTAATAAAGACGTTGGGCAAGCTAGAAATGGTTTATGATAACGTCATAATTTTTTATGAAGTAAATGTGTTTAATAACTTTGCACACAGTACATTGAGTGTCCATTTAGTGCTGTTGTGGTGGACTACAGTGCCAGTCAGTAAGTAATGTACACTTTTGTCTGTGTCGTAAATAGAATTCAGAATAATAATGTCAAGGTCAGAATGCCTCAGGGGAACTTCCCATCTTCTAAACCATTAGACGGAAAGATGAAAGAATGAAAGAGTTGAATTTGTATTTTTGTTACTCTGTAACATAAAATAAATTGAACATTGAAGAACAAAATTGTTAAGGAACATTTTGACATAACATGATGAAAAATATTTAAACATGCCAAACAAGAAACTATGATGATAATTTTCATGTTACTGGAAATGTCCGCAACTCCTTTCTTTTCAGTCACTACTGCCTTGGCACATATTTTGACATGTAAATCTCACGGCATGATGAAGTTGGCACTCAGTTTCCTGCCAGTATGAATTCCAGGCAGGTGGTTTGTTTTGCAGTCACACTGCTGTACTAAAGTATTCTTTCATCTTGTGAATTTCCGGTGCCACTACTTGACTACTTCTTTATCAGATTTATCATTAAAATCCTTTGTGAATATTTTCAGTAACATTTATAGCTAATTTATAATTGGAAGTGGACAAGTGAATGCATTTTTATAACCACTAATTATAAGTTAATGAAAAGCTCTTGAAACAGAAGAGGATATGGTTTATTCACCATTTAGCCACCTGACACTTCTTGTAGCCTGAGAGATTTTCATCAACTTCATTTTCTGCAAAAGCTTCACTTTATGTATCTATTACTGCTTTTGTAGTACCAGAAGTAAAGTTAGTTTATATCAGAGACATGTCTCTCTTTAGCTCTCTCTTCTTTGTCTTAACTAGTTTAACCTCATCAGTTGCACTTGGGTTATCATTTCTTGTAGAAAACTGTACATATGTGTAAGTAACACATGATTGTTGTTTGCATATTCGTTTTGTTTCACCTACATTGTGTTGAATGTGGTAGTTAGAATGTGATGTAATTTGCATGATCATGTCTGTTGTTGCATGTTTGAATGTCACAGGCAAATACTGTAAACCGGTAATCTGAAAATGTGTACAGACATTATTATTTCTTCTTTTGTTTTCCCCTCCATTGCACCCATTCAACGTTTAATTGCCACATTAATCTTTTTCTAGCACAGGCAAGTTTGCAGTTTAAAACCCTTGTTATGTTGGTATCACTGTTTCCAGTACCTGTGCTGGAATTCTCTCAAGTCGGCAGGAGAACGTGTACTGCCCTTCCAATTATGTTTCTTGAAATGAGTTCTAAAATTCACATGTTAACAAAGAGTGTGATACAGTTGCATTTGAGGTTGGTGTCATGAACTAAATTCAACAAAGTGAAAATTAATATATTTGCTATTGAAACTATAAACATTTCACGTAGGCAAAACAATATTGTCAGGATTAACAATGAAAGGGCTTAACTTAATAAAGCATGGTAATAAAGGTTAATAATTTTTGATTTAAATACATTTGCTGCATCCTTTTAAGAATATTTTTGTCTGAAATACCACATATTGAAACAGCAACAGCAACAGCATCTGTTAACCATTATAGACTTTTAATTTAGGTATTTTATGATAGGTGATCTTCAGCCAAAGCTCAGACCTGATGGAACGCCAGTCCAGTATGGCATCATCAACAGAAGAAGTATCGGGCCCAATGAATGACCTCTCTGGTGGGTCTCGGCGTGATGAAGGTGCAACCGAGCAGTTTGGCGTCTTCAAGGACTTTGACTTCCTTGAATATGAGAGTGAAAGCGTTGAGGTAAAGATTTCATTTTACTTTGTGAAAGTTCTTATTACATATTACTGTACAAATAGCAAAATTATCGAGTATTTGTGTACTGTAAAAATATAAATAATAATAATAATCATGACAAAGTGTACCTGTTTAATATTTGACTGGATTCATTGGCATTCCACTGTGTTAGAACCTTCTCGGTAAACAATTTAGTTTCATAGAAGCAGATTGATTTCTTTAATTTGTTTGTTGCTGTAAAATCTGTGGATCATTTCCCAAAGTATTTAGTAGAAAACATCCACACATATAAGTTTCAGTCATGTACATTCATTTTTATATCAGCCACTCTGTTGAACTGAAAATGGTGTGTAAATTTGTTGGTGTGTACTGCAGGGTGAAAGTACAGACAATTTCAACTGGGGTGTGAGGCGAAGACCATTAAGTGATGGAGAAACAGAAAGAGAGCCAAGTCTTCGTCAGTTGGAAGAAAGTCTGAGTGAGAAAACGCCTGTTCTTGGAAAGAGGAAGGTATGTAGCAGAGAGAAGTTGTCGTTTTATGAACGTGAAATATTACTGCTGCAACAGGTCTCAGCACCAAACATTAACCGCAATCAACAAAGTGTGCTCTAATATTTTAAATGCATAACCTACAGTAAAGAGGATTACTTGTTTCAGCCACGGGGTGTAGCTGAGGAATCTTCAGATGATGAAGTTGGTTCTGAATCTCCGTTGGATGAGGTGGCTGTGGCTCCAGAGTTTGGTGGCAATTCTGCAGGAGGGACTGGAGTTTATCCACCATCTTCTCTTAGTCTGCACGAACATCGGATTCGCCGTGACTCAGGCACACGCTCAGATACTTCGTACGTATCATTATGAAGTCAGTTTTTGTGGCAGACAAATTAATGTGGAATAGTTTAATAATGTCTGGTTCTGCTGCTTTCATGGTCTTTTGTATAGTGTGCCCAGTTTGTGAAAATAATGTCACTTGTTCATATTATACATAAAGTTTATCAATCATTTGTGGTATTTTAGTTTTCATTGAAAGTTCATGAGGTCAGGTCAGACGTTTATATTTTTCTATTGTTTAAAAATTGTTCTGTTTAGTGGTTCAAGTGCTGGTGACCTTGGAGATGTGACCCCATGCAATGCATCTCCAAATCTCTCAGCTCTCATGGCTTTTCGTCCAATCATGAGAGATGATACTGAAGAAGTGTGGAGACTTCAAATTCAGTCTCTTCTGAACCAGATTCCAGCTTCACCTATGGAATTGTTTCAGTTGTTGCATCGGCTTATTAAGGTGCTTAGTATTTTTAATATTGTATGTATTTAATGGTTGTTTGCAAGAGATTCCAAATTATTTGACAGTTTTAAGTAAAAGAATACTGCTTCCTTTATTCTGCAGAATGTTGTTTCTTCAGCGTACTCGAGCTGTCGTGTGATACATTGCATCTGATGAGTAATAACAGTGAAGTTAACTTCATATTTTCTTTAAGATTTAACCTGCAGGAAAGATTTTGTTGTCTAAATGGGACCACAGTTTATGGCAGCTGAAAATGTTGAGTGCACGTACAAGAAATTCTGTACCAACATTTAGAAATGCATTGGCTTCATATCCGTTGAAGAGGCATTGATATTTCCTCTGTATGTTCCTACGCTTTTGGGATTTCATGAAAGGCTTGTGAAAAGAAATGTAAACTTAGATCAGCTATCAAAAATAAATATCAGGCCATCTTTATTTGTCTTTCACGTTCTCTCATGTTGAAAATGTCATGTCAGGTAGTGACGGCCCTGCACATACAGACAGGTTATTTTATAATTCTTCCATGCTACATTATAAACATTTGAGATTTTCTGTAGTAAAATAAAAAAAGAAACATCTGTGATGGAAAGATTTTAATAACTGTCAATTTGTGCTTTGCTTCCAGGATGTGAGCAAGAAAACGGTGTCCCTGACTCAAGAGGCTTGTCAGTATCTTTCTGGCAGCTCGGCTGTCACGTCTTCACAGGGGGCGACGTTATTAGGATCGAGACTGATTCTTGTTACAGAGCTCCTTTCAGCTCAGGCTGAGCCACCGCGCGTGTGGATCAGTGGCAACGCAGTCACTAGTTCTCGCCTTACTGAGGCCCTCAGGTTTGGAATGTTGGAGATTCAGGAACACTGGGAGACTTTCCTAGACAGGAAGGACCATACAGTTGAGGTATGGTGCATAGTACATGCTCTGCCCTTTCCATGTTTTCTGAATTTATATTCATAATAACTGGTGAAGAATATAATTTATGATATTCTTCATTATGCATTTTTCTCCATCCTCCTCTTACTTTCTCTTCTTCTAGGTTCAGATATGTGACTCATTACATATGTTATATTAATTCAGGATTTAAATACTGTGTCTTATGAATGGTGGTAGGATATGATAATTTTGATCAGAAATTGTTACTGAAAAGAAGTTAAAATTATGCTTCTGTTTAAGGCATTAAATACCGAAGCGAAAAGTATTTCAGATAGAAGATGTAAAATTTAAGTAGATTAATATTTTATGTCATGTACATTCTATTATATGATGAGGAATTTGTTGTGACACGTCTCTTAAAGTTTGAATTTGGAAAGTTGAGTGTTCACACAATCGTAATTTTTTACTATAAGTACATTTGTCACATGTGAAGTATTTAGTCTGTGTCTTGACCATTCATCTGTTTGCAGTGCATTGATGCTGTAAAGACAACTGTGAAGCTAAACCTACTTGGAGAGAACCAGTCTGAGTTGGGCAACGAGGAACTAGTTCTGGATCTTGGACGAGCTCTATACAAACTGCACTTCCAATTGTTACTACTCATTGAAGCTTCTAACAAGATGGTCACTGCCCTCACTGTGGCAGCTCATAACGGTCAAGTAATGAGATCTTCTGACTAGTCGTTTGATTTATGTTATTAAAATCCCAGACCAATTCATGTCATGAGTATCACTGTTCTCTTTGATTACTCACTACCAGCTTTTAAAAATGTTGCTGTTACTTTGCAGAAGGATTTAGCTTTTCAGACACTCATTTCAAATGGCAACCAAGAAGGCTACCAAGAATTTGAATTTTTTGGCATCGATAACTTGATATTAAATCACATTTAAGTGTTGTGCACCACGTGGTTTTATTGCCTTATGTAATATCAAACTGTTTAAAGCAGAAAATACTTGAGTGTTTTTGAGTGTAGAACAATCCTAGATTCTTCTGTCCATTGTGCTGTCGCACGCTATAATAATGATAATAATTTACAAAATATATTAATTGTAATGCAGCTGCGGGATGTTTCTGCTGAGGTGGCAGCAGTGAAGGCTAGCTTAACGAGGGTAGTGGAAGAAGTGGGGGACTGTGACCACGGCACACCGACACCAACGCCCTCGCCCGTACCTGCCGGCTGTGAGGAGGTGGAGACGGCACTGCTCGAGCTGGTACACGCCGAGAAGTGGGCCGCGGCCCTTCGGCATGCCCAGCACAACAGGTTTACTTTGTTTTCATTCGGTCATATTATAGTAATTTGTTTAGAATCTGTCTCCTTTTAACACATTTTGTGCTGTGCGTGTTCTGTTGCAGAGGAGTGTGGGTCGCTGATGTTTCCCAATGTGGTGCAGAAGAAGACGACATCACAGGGATATTAAATGTGTTTTGCAAACATTTGGCACATGACAAGTCTGGTAAGTGGGCCTTGAGAGGAGGTTTATTGTTTCTCAATCAGCGTGTGTGTACATATGTATGTAACCTGCAGTCTTACTCTTCACCTGTAGCTCCTACCTGCTCACTTCCTTGTGTCATATGTAAAATGAGGAAGAATGTAAGTTATGTGTGAACCATGGAAAAACATAATTAAGATTTACAGCTTTTAAAAGTTTTTCTTTGTTTCTTCAAAACAGGTTTTCATGTAGCATGTCATATTTGTCTAATTGTGTATATGCCACAGTATAATATAGTGCGAACAGCTGGACTGAGAGACGATTGTTTCTGTCACCAGACGTATTTGTGGTGACCCGGACACAGGAGGACCTGGCTGACGTATTCACTCGACTGATGGAGAGCTTGTTTCAAGTGCTGGGGGCTGTCAATGCTCTAGACACCCAGGTCAGAGACCAGCGGGAACACAGTGATTCTTCCCTGCGCAAGACTGAGTGTTAAGTTATATTACTGTTGCAAAAATTCTCAACCTTTTATGACAGAGTTTGTCTTTGTATTCGGAATTCCAAATTGGGAAGCTGCTTTTGAACAACACATTCTATAAATGTCTACATATCAAATTTACTTCCAGGAATTACCATTTACTGATTATTGGCAAGTAAGAATTTTCAGTGCAGGATTTGAGGTTTTCACAGTGGTGTGTCTGAAGATAGCTGTCTTCTGGGTTGTTGTGCCGTATGGTCTTGTAGAAGTTTACCGACGTTTCTGAGGTCCTTGCTGCCTCCATTATCAGGGCAGCGTGGGCCTCAGAAACGTCGGTTGACTTCTATCAGACTACATGGCGCAACAACTCAGAAGACAGCTACCTTCAAGTATTTTCAAGAGAAATGTGAAGACATTGCTAACATTAAGGGAACACAAGGTAAACAGAATTTAGAGCAATAGTGGCCAAAGATTTATTCAGAAAATAATGGTAATAATTATAATTAAATGCATAACATAAATTTGATTTCTTGGTACATTTGTAATTTATATTCCACATCAAAATGGAAAATCTTCCAACTGCTTAAAATATCTGAGAGGTTTCTACAGTTTACAAATTATTGTATTTTCTGCTTACAAATTGTACTTTGTAAGAACTGACAGGGGCACGGAGAATTTTGATCTGAACCAACACTTTTTTTCTGTCCGGTTTTGAAACAGACCCTATGTCAAGATACAAATATTTTTGATGGAAATATAAAAGATGTAAATATACTGAGTTGACATGCTTTAAAAACTCAAACATGGGAGCGTAAGCTGTTTTGTGAGAAACCTGACCATGAAATAGTTAACAAGTGTTGTAAAATTTTGTTTGTCTCGTGCGCATTCCAGCTTTGTGTGTTGCATCAGTGTGCTGCTAACTGGTAACCATAAAGTTATAGTCTGGCCAGCAGTCTCATAGTACAAGGCTTTAAGTCATATTTTCCCATATGATAAAGGATAAACATTGTTACTTGTATGTATTTAGCCTCACACTCTGTAGCTAGGATACAAAGAAACTGATCAGTTTATGTATGAGTACGTAACTCTGTAAGCATTCATGGAGCTGTTCCATTTTGAAGAATTATTTGTGCACATCATGTGACACTACGTTGATGAATATCCTATTTTAATTCAGGTTTAACAGACGAATTCAGCCTGTGCTCTGTTTCACTGATTGAAGTCTCATAGCATCGTTCATATGTTGTAGGATTTGAGGTTTTCACAGCAGTTAGTCTTAAGATGACTGTCTTCTGTGTTGTTGCGCTGTGTAGTCTGGTAAAGTTTAATGACATTTCAGAGGTCCTTAATGCTTCCATCATCAGGGCTGCATGAACCTCAGAAATGTCAGTAAACTTCTATCAGACTACACAGTGCAACAACCCAGAAGGCAGCCACCTTCATCCTCTGTATGTTGTGTAATACTCCTATCTTATGTCTAGTCCAGTTATTCCACATAGTTCATATAATAATTGAATTGTTCTTGAGAGAAAGGAAGCTACGTTCTAGGTATGCATAAAGATTCAACATATTTGGAGTGTATATACAAAGCCTTTTAGACTGATCTCAGAAACATCCTTAATTCTGGAACAGTAATGTCTTTATTTTCCCACTCTTCCCATTATTTTTACTAGAAATTGGGTAAATAAAGTATTATTAAATTAATCATGATTTTTTATGTGTTAGTACAGTGTAGGTACGTATTTTTAGGGAAGGACTTTCTACTTGTGTCTGCAAATGCTCTGAATATATTCCACCCAGTACAAATGTTTTGACCCCCGTCTGCTACTGTATTTGTTCAATTTATAGGGCAGTTAGTTGCACTGAAGCAGTTATATGCTGTTGTGGTATTTGCTTTGACAGAAAGCTGAAAATGGGGTATTCTTACTTACATTCTATAAAGTGCATATGAGAGTGACAGATGGTCATAACAGATGTGGTGGAAAACAGAGCTCTCATCCTTATAATGTAAAAATGTTTAGGAAATAAATATTTAAGTGTTAGTTAACAGCAGAATTAAACTCCATAATATTGCATCTCATTACATGTAATATTTATTCCATTTTAGTTTCAAGAGTGATTAATGATACAAGATCTGATTATGTATTACTTTTCCATTTGCATTTAACTGTTTGCTACTTAGGATTTCCATACAGTTTAGTTGGTCCATAAGATGTAATTCCAATTCACATCTGTACCTTAAATTACATACAGAATTGTCTTTCTTATGTCTGAATTATAATAAATCTCTTGGTGGTGATGATGCATTTAGGCACATTCATTTGTATTCTGTTGATATTAAGATAAACCTTAAATAACCATAAACCCAACAATATGTACCTCAGTGTAGTCATAAATAATATTCACTCTGTACAGCTAATTTAGATGTATTCATTTATTCATATTTTTGAACCTAACTCCAGAAACTAAACTACTTTCTTCAGGCTTGTATTAATGTTTGTACCAAATCCAGTGCATGAATATAGAATCAACATTTAATTAATGTAAAGATTCATTGCTGTTTGAAGTTAAAATCACTGAAGGCGAAATTTTAGAGAAAACATTTAGTAGAATGGCTGTGTTGATCTAATGTGCAATTTCTTATCGGAAAGAAAAAGTAAATAAAGGAGACAGGCTAGTCATCTTGGTAACACTTTACAAGTACGAAGTTAATCAGTGTTCGAATTATTATTATTTGAATTATGTTTCCGACTCTGTAGCAGTGGCTGGCTGGTCGACTCGTAGTAGTTGCAATATCGCTGCGGGTAGGTGGCAGTAGTGTATGTGAGTCCTGTCATACGTTGCGAGTTACTACTTTGTACGTTAGCTTAGATCGTTTTGCTGTGCTGTTTTAGATTACCTTTGTATATATTTTCTGTGATGTACTCCATCTTATAACCCGATGTAGTAGATGGGAGCAGGTCATGTAATTCTGGATATGATTGAAGGTTTGGTGTTGTTTGTAGTTTATTTTTGTATCATTATTTATAGTGTTTTAATGTGTACTTGGTGTTGGTTTCAAGGAGATTCTTAAGTTGTAAAGAAAAGTTTAGGTATCTTATCTAACCTTACCAGTCACATTTATAAGTTCCTTGAAAGCATAAAGTTTTTTGGCAGGTTAAAGACTCGGACACCATCGTTACTGGAATAATTAGAATATGTGGAGCTACATATGCCTAACTACTAAGCTGCATTTTTAGAATTACAATTACATTCATCGTTAAAGATGCGTTTTATTAAATTGCAACAGCAGCATACTCTCATAATTTGGTGTGAAGTAATGTGAAAGTTTCTTTGGTATATCAAGTTACCGGATTAAATGTGATTTAACTCGGTTTAATTTGAAGTAATGTGAAAGTTTCTTTGGTATAGCAAGTTACCGGATTAAATCTGTGATTTAACTCGGTTTAATTGCAGTGTCAGAAAATTCAGAAGAGATTTCTATGTCTTCTTTTTCCAGTTTGATGGCAGTTAGCAGTCTGTCTGCAATTGGACAGTTTTGGAAGAGGTACTGGATTGTAATATTTTTTCCAACAGCCACAGTTGGTTCAATATATCTGGATTTGTCACATACTAGGGCGTGGAAACGGCAACAAGCTACATCTGAGTTAAGGAAAACAGCTTCATAGAACAGTTTTCCATCATGGCTATATTTGGTATTACACGTCAATACTTATATTTTGCTGTACCAATGACTGGATTCATGCTTGGTTGGTGGTTGGATAGGATGGAAACAGAACGTATGACACTGTTTCGAGACAAGAGTGCGCTGTTTGGGCGAGAACTAAAGCCAGGAGACAAACCATCTTGGCCCTGAAGAAATGTAGAAGCCTGTACATAGCATTTCATAATAAAATTGTAGACATTTTAACACCTAAATAAAAAAACTGGTTTGCAGTAGTAAACATGTTTATTCATTTTTTGGTATGCTGTGATACTGTTTTATCCAAGTTAGGTAACTTCTACCTGTAATTGTATAGAAATCAAGGTAACTGAAAAGTCTGAAGGTATTTTAACACTCACATTATTGTCAAAAAACATATTCTATGTTTACATTTCATAGTGCAATTTATGTATACTTGAAACCATTAATTGCTTCTGGAAGACTCAATGAAAATCAGAGGTGATCTGTTGATATGACATTTTAATGCAGTACAAATGATCAGATGCATACTCTTAGTTCCTCATAAATACTGTCCTTTGTATGATAACATTTGTACTGGTTTGTGGCGTGCACATTCAAAACAAAACTTAATTAGTCTTTTAGACATTTATTTTGTACTGTCATTCATTGAAAAATATGAACAATATCAGTTTCATTAGAAACAAAATTAAACCTTCACGTAAATCATGTACCCAAGTCATTGAAATCCCGAGGAAAATATGAATTATGTAATGGAATGCAGTACATGCCAAAAATTTTGTGGACAGTCATCTGTCAATACATTCCTAATTAGTGATTATGTGAGCTTACTCATATAAAATGGAATCTTAAATTTTAAGATGCTAATATGTTAGTTGTGTTAATCATAAGAACTACCACCAGATGGTTCCAATAAATGTAATAATTGTGTTGTGAACACAAATGCAACTTAGCAAAATATACATAATAATACTTTTAATCTATCTGAAGCTTGAATATAAAGCTACTGCACTTCTAGGTGCAGATGATACCGTAGCTGCAGACAAGCCCACACATCTTGTAACTCTTTGTTCTTGAGGTTGTGCATTTTCCTTTTTTGTACTTCTGGGTGCTCTCAAACTTCCAAGAACGTAGGAATGTCGTTTGTTCTCAAGCCAAAGTGTTCGATCCTCCAACCAAGAAGTAGTGCGTGGTGGGGGTCTTACAATTGTGTTGCTGCTTCTGCTAACGTACTTGTTGGAATTCAAAACAGTCAGAACATTGTTTTGCAAGTTATCCATTTCTGCCCTTTGTAGGTCATGAAAGGAACTTTTAACCCTTTTTTTCTGCAGCTTTTCCTTTGAGTCATGTACTTCAGAAAGCTTTGATGGTACATGTTCTGGTATGTCACCCAGCACTTTGGTACTGACTCTAAGAGCGCTTGGCAAGTCTCCAGGTGGATGGATAAACTGAGGGACATTGGTAGCAAGTTGGAGACTGCTACATTTTGCTTTTGGTTTTGTAATTGGCAGCGTGCCAAAGTGGACACGTCTCTCAGATCCACCTCTTGCAAACGGTGAAGGTTTTGTGATGTATTCTGGATACAACTTTGTTGATGTGGGGAGTACGCTTGTGTCACCAGGATCAGCGCTAAGAGACGTATCTAAATCTGCATTGGCTGAACTGTATCGTTGCTGCTGCCGTAAGTTCTTGACACTACTGGTGACGGATCGAACTTCCCTGCACTGTCGTAAATATATGTCGGCTCGAGTCATTTTCTCTTTTGTCACTCTGTCTAGTAGTGTCACCTGTTTCTCTTTCTTGGCAAGTGTCCTTTCTCTTTCACCAATGGCAAGTTCCTTTAATCTCAGAGATGCCTCTCTCTGCTTTAAGATGTGAAATCTATTCAACCATATGTCATGAACATTTTCACTACTTTCCTTGCAATTTTTGCTTTCAGTTTCACCTTGGAATGCAGTTGTGCCTGATTCTGACAGATGGAGTTCATGCAAATTCTGTACAACATTGGGAATTTCATTTATTTCCTTCTGACTGCCACTATGTTCAGGTTTTGAAAACATAGTTTTGAAAGTTTCCTGAGCAATATTTGTTACCACTAGAGGGTGCTGCAGAATCATTTCAGTGGTAGGACGGAAGTTATGATCAGTACTAAGCAGAAGTGATATAATCTTTTGCAGATCATCTGAATAATGGGCAGGGATTCGAGAGAACCTGTAATTGAAGATTCATTGTTAGTACATGCCATACAAATAGTGTACAGGAAACTGAATAGAGAAAAGTGGAAAAGATATGTCAGATACTTGAATAATACTGTCTGCAACCTGCTAAAAGCTTTGTGTAATATTCTTTAATTCTGCTGTGTGAAATCCTCTGTGGTAACCTTCTGCCATCCTGTAGTGCTCTGGCTACATTCTATCATTCAGAGTAATCCTTACAGTGTGTAACAATATAATTAAAGATCTATCGCCAGGAATTACTGAAATGTGTTAATGCTATTATGAAACACCACATTGTTCAGTACTTACTTGCGTTCCTTGATTCTTAGAGCAAGCTGTTTGATGTTTTGCCCCATGAAGGGTGGTGACAGTGAGCATAACTCATAGACAAGACAGCCAAGTGACCAGATGTCAGATTTGTTATTGTATTTGCCACCTTTAATAACCTCCTGCAACATATACATCCCACTCTCTAAATAAGTTGTATTGAAAGTCTGGTACACTTTCCATTGAATGGGCCCTTGATAAAAACATTTGTCATCACAAAGACACAAAACGTAACAGCATCGGTTTTCCACTTTTCAATATCTGGGGCCATATTAACCCATCACAAAGACACAAAACGTAACAGCATGGGTTTTCTACCTTTCAATATCTGGGGCCATATTAACCATCTTTTATCGACTTGTGGGTCAGAGAGTTATGAATGAATTTATTGAAACCTCTTGACACTTCATTAAAAATGCTTCTTACTATTATGACAGCTTCACATATTTCTCAAATATGTTGATTTGTGAATAACCTGTGTGTCAGAACATGATTCTCTTAGGATAATGTATTTACTCATGTGTATAAGACATATATTGCTGTGAGACATTCAAATTGTAGATAAATTTAGCACAGCATATATTAAACAAACAAAAACCATCCTTACCAGAATGGATTGTGTATGGTCCTCTTTGTACACATACAATATAATCTTGTTACACATTTCACTGTATTAACTTCTGTACATTCTGCCATGCATATAGTAATATACTTACTGGACTCATGTAATAAGGTGTCCCAACCAATGTTTGAGCAAAGCTGGTATCATCATGCAAGATACGAGCAAGCCCAAAATCCCCTAATTTCACATTTCCTGCTCCGTCCAAGAACACATTTGCTGGTTTGATGTCTCGGTGTAATACAGTAACAGACAGTTGCCAATGACATGCCTGAAGAGCACGGCACATTTGATACAGAACGCGCCATATAAACCCTTCATCCAAGAAGCTGCTGCTTCTAAAAATGGAAATATATAAAATATGAGAAATTACATCCACCAATTCAATTTATAGCTTTGCATAAACAGAACTTTAAAAAATAACAGAGGTAAGGAACATAATTCTTACTTCTTGCACTTATTAATCAGGGTTGAAAGATCTCCACCTTTGCACCATTCCATAACAATATAAAGTGTAGCAGTTTCTTTGTGAATAACTCGATCAAAATACTGTACAATGTTTGGATGCTGCAGCTCACTTAGTAGATTAACTTCTGAGACAAGAAGCTGAAAGAAATACATTAACATTGAATATCTTTGGCTAACATAACCATTCTAAAATTATAGGTGTAAGAAGATTGGCATGTTTATGTATGGCCCAGTATCAATCCACAACCCAAATTCAGTGACCAGTCAGGGGGCTTAGGTAGATTATAAGATACATTATGCCTAAACATTAAATAATGCCTGAATTCACAAAGAGTTTAGGGATAACAGCTGAAAAATATGTAAAACTTTGTTTCAGAATTCTATAATATAACATCACATAAATAAATAGGAGAATGTCACTTAGAAGGGCCAGTACTAAAATGTACCTGTTTCTTTTCTTCACTCAATCCACTGTAACCAACAGCCTTCCATACATATAAACAGCCATTGGATTTCTTTCGTACTTTGTAACATGTACCGAAAGAGCCGGTCCCAATTACATTTAATACTTCGTAATCTTCGATATAACCTGACATTTTAGGCACTTATTTATGGCTTCACTCCAATGGAGACTTACAGGAACCCTGTAATAAAGTACGTTATGTACAAACACACCCCTGTCTGTAACACATTCAGGTATAATGTTCATCTTCAAAACCACTTACTGCTGTTATTACCACTTTATACATTATGTAAAACATATTTACGAAAGGGCAGTCCTTAATTACCATTTATGTCAATGCTCAGTTTGGTGCACATACAGATTTATTTGAATTTTAGTTTATTTTTTGTTTTGAAACAGAAAACAACGTCATTGGTCAACTGATGGCGTGTGCGTTCAACAAATTATGAATTTCTTCTACAATTTTAAGGTATTAATCATGGTCCGATAGGCGTTCCATATGTAAACAGAGGAAAATCGTCTGTGTTTGATTGTACGAAAACAAAGTGAAAGGAAATAAGTCCCTTAAACCAAACATTATAGGGACCGGTCGGACTACAAGCATTTGTCAATTGGAGTATTTGGTTACCTGTGTCTTTTCCAAATTTCATCGTTTGTCTTTTGTCTGCTGTGACATGTGTTATGGCGGTGATTAGAATTATGAAGTGTGGTTAGTGTTTAGTTGGAATTATTTTAGTCATGTACTGTTTGTGGGAGATTTAGTCGTCTTGTTGATGAGTATTTTTTTAATCAGACCGTGTGTGAAATAATGCCCTTAGGTTTTACAATATATGAAAATGTTTTGTCGTTTGTACATATATCGTTACCATCATCAGACCATTGGCATTATGAAAAATGTTGATTTAAAAATTCACTCTTATTGTGGTAACAAGCCGATATTATTTCTAATTAAGAATGCAATAAAGTGTTCAGATATATTTATGGATATGCAAAGTTACAGAGGGCTTATGTGCCATATATATCATAGCAATAGTTTGCAAATGGATTATCTGGGAGCTTTAAAAGAGGTTCATAATACACTTAATAAGTACCATATCATCCCAAATAGAACTTTATATCGAGGTTCATAATACACTTAATAAGTACCATGGCATCCCAAATAGAACTTTATATCGTTATTATAACACAGTGAGCATAGAAGATATACCTGCTGTGACAGAGTCACAAATTAGAAAGACATTTAAAAGTCATGGGTTAAATTTTGTTGATGGTGTTACTTGTTTGGTCACTGAATGCCCAATGTGTGTTGCGCAACAAGGTAGAAGCCCAGTTGGAAGGATGTACATTAATAAAGTTACAGGTTAGTATTTATACTTGTAAATGTGTCACACTTTAACATACCTTTCCTTGCACTGTACAGGAGTATTAAAAGCACACCTTTGAAATTGTACATTTTATTCTTCCAAAGGTTTTCATCTTTAATTTTTAATAATAACTAAGTTTGAGTAACTTATTCGCTGGAGCAGACCTTGAAGAGCTGATAGATGCTCGTGTGGTGTTTATGGAACCTAGATATTCCTTATAGTGATCTGAAGAGTCTTCCTTTGGGCTGTATTCTAATTGAATTGCATTTGACATCTTATTGCTTTAACATCCATCTTAATATTATCTTTCATGTATGCGTAGGCTTGTTACTTTATTTTTTATTAATGATTTCATATTATAGTATTTCAAAGTATTACATGTCAGATTGTATAGAAGTGAACACTGATAAACAGTAATATAAATTGAAAATCTTCAGATAATGAAGACATTTTGCAGGAAACCTGAATAACTGGGGCTTCCAATATGTCAGTGCTACATGTCTCTTCTTCCTTCAAGTTCAAGGTGTGTCATAAATAATGTCTTTCAGTCTGCCTCCAGTCTTTGCACTGTAATGGTACTGCATTTATGAGAATTAAGCCCACATGAAATTAACTCTGATTCTTGTGTGATTGTAGGATTCTTTTTATGCCATCAGTGTAGGCATTCTGGAACCTGGGACATTTTAGTGAGATTTCTTGTTGAGAGGAAGAAGAATAAATCTTTCTCAGCCAAGGACCTTGATATTCTTACTAAGGAAACCACTGTAGACAAGAAGGTTGATGCTCTTTGGAAGCAGTTACAGAAGACCACGCAGTTGTTAACTTCTCTTCCAGATGATGCAGTTAGAAACATTTTAAGGAACTTCAAACTTCCAGTAAGGTTTGCAGGCAGTTTTGTAACCGTGAGAAGGTGTGAACATTCAGCTCTTGCATGTATATATGTTAGGGTAAATTTAAATGGTGTCATCTCTGTGTTACTTGTTTGATGAATTAATATGATAATTATTCCATCATTACTTTCTGTGGTTTTCTTCTCATTGCCTTCCTGCTGTAGAAATTACTTGTCAGTTGTTACAGTAATGTAATTATTTTTAAACACCTGATAATTTTGTATTATATTATTTAGTGTTCTGTCTGACGACAGGTCCATTCTTCTGCCCAAAAAGAGTTCGCCAGTTTTCCCTATTCTCAGCTTCTCGTTTTAATTCCTGAAACTTCATCTTCTTTAATGGCTTAAAATACATAAAATCATGTTCACAGATAAAAAATCACTTTACAGCTGCTGTTTGTCATGTCACTATACTGTCATGCATCTGTGATACTGAATCTCATTTACAGTTTATTTTAGGTTTTATACCTTACAGAATGTCTAATATTATATGATGTACGATATTGAAGTATTTTGTTCTGTGTAAAAAATGGCATTGCATTCTATTTCAAACACCAGATCTTACCATATCAAGAAGACACCTCATTGAAAGGCACAAGACATGTTAATGTGTGTCTCGCTGTGGTGTTCGGTAGGTGAAAAGAGTAGTTTAATCTATAATCTCTTGTTTCAGATTGTATCACAACGGGCAACAATAGAACAGTTTAATATTCGTACAAACGATGCAAAGTCTGTTTTGTATATCCCGTTGCATAATATTGAAGGCCAGAGAATGGGATTTAAGATTTTAAAAATTGATGTAGATGGAGAAGAAACGTTCCCTGCGGTGGGATGCGGTGGAATCATTTGCTTTCATCGTGGCAAAAATGTCAAAGAAGAGGCAGCCGTGATTGTCGCTGGAGTGGCTGATGCTTTAGCACTGGCTTCATGTAAAACAAATCTTCAGATTGTTTGTTTGCCTCATGGTGAGTGCTGTACATTTACTTTTATTTGGTTGGGTGAGACATTCTTGTCTTAAAAGTCACTCGTACAAACTCGTCATTCTTCAGTCAAGTGTCACTGAGCTAAATAATTCAGCAGTTTCTCGTATAATGCTATGAAACAGTCTATTGCTTAAAACAATGAATTAACAAAGCAGAATTTTCTGGGTTTTATTTGGGTTTATTCCATTTTTATTGTGTGTTTTGTTTTGCCACAATTAATCCACTTAGTACACTTATGTTCATGTTTCAGTGGACCATTTTTGAACTAATTTGCCATTGTTACTTGATGAAAAATCCTGTACTGTACCAAAACTTATTATAAAAATGTTTTTAATGTACTACACCATGTACCATGCAACGCAGACACTGAACTTACAAGCCATTTGCAATGTTGCCTAGTCTCTTTATGAAGTGGAGGTTCTGTCTGCTGTGGATTTTATCCTGTCCTGATCACAAGAGTGAATGTGGTCTTAATGTACTACCTTTAATGAAAATATTGAATTCTGTCAATATAGTCACTAATTGTGAACTCAGTCATTATGTATCCTATTTAAACAATCATGTAACATTTAGAACTATGTTTCTGTGGCATTTAAACTAGAGCCACAAAAACTGAAAATTGGAATTGTGAAAACTTTCTTATGAATTAATTAAATTTTCTGTAAGTGCTATATTTATTTTTCTTTGAAGTTATCTGATTTGTTATGACTTCATTGTATTCATTGTTACATTTCTAGGTCTAACAAGCTTGCCACAACAGATTTTACCATCACTGGAACGATTTACGAAGCTTATACTTTGGTTTGGCAATGATATTGGTGCTTGGGATGCAGCAAGGAATTTTGCCAAGAAACTTGGAGAAAATAGATGTTATTTTGTTAGACCCATTGAAAATCACGCTTCACCTGTAGTGGCTTTGTTAGAGAATCAGGACTTGAAGTCAATTATATCAGGTGCACAGCCAATATGGCACCAAGCTATTACAACATTTTCCAGTTTAAGGCAAGATGTATTATCAGATCTTCAAAACAATGACAAAGTAAGCTTGTAGATTAAGTTTGTAATTTCACTTTCCCATAGTACCAAAGCATGAGCACACAAAGACAGAATTTAATGATACGGATGATGTCACATCCGCTTTTCTTGTATCATGAGAAGTTTTCGTATCTGAAATTTTATGTACTCCATGAGAGTGATGTTGATGTTTGTCCTCTGGGTTTTAGCACCATGTGGACAAGTAGGTGGATACCTGTATGTCCACACAGTGTTGCAACCCTGAAGACCAACTACAAACTTCATTGGCTTTGATGCTGATTGATAATTGTTGTCTATCTTTTAGCTGGTGACTTACAGCCAGATTCAATGGTTTTCATGCATAACATAGTGAAATAATATTTGATCTTTGTTGATCTCAATTATTTTCTGCATTTGTGTAATTTGAATTTCTTTCACTTACAAATCTTTTAAATTCCTTCAGGTGCAAGGTGTAAAATGGACGAGATATCCTGCTCTAAATCGCATTCTTAAAGGACATCGCCGTGGTGAATTTACGGTTCTCACTGGACCCACAGGCAGTGGGAAAACAACATTCATGAGTGAATATTCATTAGATCTAGCAATGCAAGGTGTAAACACACTTTGGGGGAGTTTTGAAATCCGCAATGCCAGATTGGCTCGTACATTGCTCCAACAAATGGCAGGAATACCTTTAGATGCCAACTTGGATCAATTTGATATGTGGGCAGATAAATTTGAATGTCTTCCTCTGTATTTTATGACATTCCACGGTCAGCAGTCTATTAAAGTGGTCATGGAGGCAGTAGAACATGCAGCTTATGTGCATGACATTGCGCACGTTATTATTGATAATGTGCAGTTTATGATGGGAATCTCAGAAGATGCTGCGCACATTGATAGATTCTGGAAACAAGATGCTATTATAGCAAGTTTTCGTGAATTTGCTACCAAGAAAAATTGTCACGTTACTTTAGTAATACACCCTAGGAAAGAGAGAGACATGGAAGATCTCACTATTAACTCCGTCTTTGGAGGTGCAAAAGCCACACAAGAGGCTGATAATATTCTCATAATTCAGGATAAAAGACTGACATCTGTACGAGGGAAGAAATATTTGCAGGTAAATTTAATATAAATTCCAATAAAGGTTTGATTGATATGATCAACATTAGTGCTTTATGCAAGAACAGTACTTACAAATGTGTTTAGTTGGGAACTTTTATGTTATAACAGTTCAAACATGACAATATTAAAATGTTTTTCAGGAGAGTATGCAGGGTTTCAGCTGTTATGGTCCATTTTTCATGCAAGTACTATCTTGCATTGAACCACAAAACCTGAAATATTTATGAATTTTTTTATTTTCACCATTATATAAACCCATCTACATCCCAACTCTGTTTATGTCTGTCATAATCACACCACTGTAATAAAGTAAACTTTGTGTGGTTTATTTTTTCAGGTGGCCAAGAATCGCTACAGTGGAGACTTGGGTATCGTGCCATTGGAGTTTGATAAAGGCAGTCTTAGTTATGGACAAAAGAAAAAGAAGACCAACGATGAAGGCAGTGTTCAGAATCCAACATAGCATCTATGAAATGAAAATTAACTTCTTAATGCTTATTAAAGTGTTGTCTCCTTGGAGAGCATTATGTATTGGAGACCATGTCAGCAGTGTCAGGGTCAAGATAATATGTTGAACTCTCTTAATAGGATGTTATATTGGAAATGACTGTGAACAACATGTTTTATCATGATTCAGGTTTGAACCTCTATTTTAAATTATTCCTACCACCTCACAGATATGTTAATTAATATATGATACATTTTATAAAAATTGTAAAATACCCTGTGAATGTCTACTGGCTCCTATCCTGAACCAAAATAATTCAGTCCACTCTTCCTTGCCATTTCCCACAAATTTATTTTGATATTCTTCCATCTATGTTTGCGTCTTCCGAGTGGAGTGCGCCCTTCAGGTCTTCAAACCAAAATTTTATACGTATTTCTTATCGTCTAAAACACCGAAGGCATCATTTCCTGAGACTGGCTACAGAGCGCTCTGTTTACGAAAAATGATAACAATATTGGTACTAAGCAATAATCTTTGACCATTTAAGATAAAATTATGAATAAAAGAATTTGTATACTTATATAACAAGGCTTAATAATATTAAATGTGACCACGCAGCAAGTATGAAAATCGCGCATAAAGCAATGGCGGATAGGTGGCTCATGAAGTGTAAAAAATGGACGAAAGAGGGTACTTGGGAATGCCTGGAAACACGTGTAGTTGATTATATACCACCTGGTCTGACAGAATGTAAACATCATGGCGGCAAAGAAGTGTGTGAATGGAGCAGTTATTTGTATTTTGATGAAATGGATATATATTGTGTTATTTATGTTAATTTGCAAGATAACAAATGGCGATACTTACCATACAGTTAACAAGGACTCGTCCGTTGTCATTGCGTTTCTTGTAAGAAATAAAGCACACACACTACCATATTTTTTGACGTTACTTGAGAGGTTAGACTATCCGAAAGACCGAATTTCTTTATGGTAAGTTTCGGCTTGTATGGCTGTGATGATTTTCTAATTAATGTGAGGTTGTAGGCAGATATTCCGTTCAGTGTTATAGAGTAAGAAATCTGTGGGCGTACATACTAAGGGTGGAGTACAGTGACTTTTGTACCGAATGCAAAGAAAGAATTCGAGGTACATGTACAATACTGCGTGTTTCTTGTGCAGGGTTCGTAGTGATCACAATGAAGATAGAACTCTGGAAATCTTGAAGATATGGCTCTCATCTGTTGAGGGTCAGTATCATTCTATAAATGCAGAGCTTCTGTCTTCACCTCCGGTACGATTATCTGAAGAAAAGGGCCCAGCCCATTGGCCTTCTTCACGTTTCACACATGTTATTCAGTTGCGTGAGGAAGCATTGGCTGGTGCCAGACAAATGTGGGCTGACTATATATGGGTGAGTGCTCAGTGATTTTGTCATGCTAGTTGAGTTTTTGATCTTTGTTGTAGTTTCATAAGCTTTCAAATAAAATTGTGAGCATCTTTTCTGGATCAAAATAAATGATCCAGTCCATTTTTGTGAAGAGTGCATACTGTTGAATAGAATAGAATTTATTTACATTTCATAGATCTTAGATCCTTCGTAGGCCTAAGCCAAGGACGTAGAACATGTCATAGCACAAATACAGTTCTTGTTTCTAATACAAATATAAATTGCATAGTTATGGCAGTAATTTATAGTCAGCTACAGTACTTTTACAAAAAAAAAGCTTAACCAATATTAAATTTCTTAAATGGTTCCCAAATGAATGCCTGCCATTATTCTAATTATTTTCTTTTGAAATTTGGACACATTGTGACCACATGTAAAAAAAACGCTCAATTTTTTTTACATGTTATACCTAAAAAGTAAGTTAAATGCTGGACTCCAGTGACATGGATACTGGAATTGAGACAGGCCAGGTTCAGTGTCCATTTTTCCATGTCCTTTCTCTTTCCTTCCATCAAATAAGACAAATATTTGTTAATATGAATAATACTAGGCCTACACTTCACTTCAGGAATCCTCTGTTGATCATCATTCTTATTATTATCATCCTTTTGTCAGGAATAATGACGATCCCAACTTCTTACGTGTCACAACCTCAGAAATGGATTCTTTCTTAATTACTGAGGCCAGGAAGGCTTAAATAAACAATTTTACACATTGTGTGAAATAAACAAAACAATTTTTTATGTATTCATTAAATTTTTGCAACAGGTCTCTATTTCTGGTAAGTTTTTTGACAGTTTTATTCTTTTACAGTTTCTTGACTGTGATGTCTTCTTAACAAATCCCCAAATTTTAAAGTTGCTCACTTCAAAAGGCCATACTGTGGTGGCACCAATGCTTAAGTCTGATGGAATGTATTCTAACTTCTGGTGTGGGATGACAGAAGAATATTACTACCTTCGAACTGAGGATTACAAGCCCACCTTGCAACGCGAACGTGTCGGTTGTTTCCATGTTCCGATGGTTCACTCCTCAGTACTCGTCGATCTTCGCCGAGCTTCCTCCGACGGCCTTACCTTTGTTTCTAGTAAAGTGCCTGATTATAAGGGACCACACGACGACATTATCACATTTGCCCTTGCGGCTAATAAGTCTGGTGGGTATAAAGTTCTGCGGTTCAATGGTTTTTTCAGACGTATCATGTGCACGAACGGCACTGGTTTCTGCACGTACTTTCTTTTGTATTTCAGGTGTACCGCTGTATATTTGTAATGATAATATTTATGGGTTTGTGATGGTCCCATTAGAACAAAATGATTCATTACAACTTGACTTCATGCAACTAACAAACCTGAAACTGGAAGTTTTGGGTATGTATTGTTATAATACTTATGTTGTAATTTATGAATTACATTTAGTATCGCTGTTTTCAGTTGTGAAGAAATAGGTGCTGTGTTTCAGTAATCATGTTAGTAGTTCTTTCTGGATTTGTGTCTTTTTATGGTAAGTTCTTTTTCTTTCAGTTGAAAATCCGCGTCTGCCCGTGAGTGAACTTTTAGCTCAGTTTGTGACGTATCCAGAACGAGATACCATGGGGTTTGACAACATCTACATGATTAATCTTCTCCGACGACCGGAAAGGAGAAAGAGAATGCTGCACTGCTTCAAGGAACTTGGTATCCATGCAACTATTCTGAATGCAGTTGACGGACTGTGAGTACTTGCACTTTTATTGAGATTTGGATTTTAGTTCTTTAACATTCTGGGCCATCGCTGTTGCTTGCTTTCCTCATCAACGAAAGTAATTTGTTTGTGTTGAAGAAACTCGCTCGTGTCATCCGAGTGACCCTGTTGCTATAGCTGAAATCTGTGAATAATGGTAGCACATGTGTAAGACCTGTTTATTCACAATGTTTTAATAAGGTCCGTCGCACATGTGTAAGACCTGTTTATTCACATTGTTTTAATACGGTCCGTTATTTGTTAAAATTGTGATACAATGTATTCGTTGTTTTCACAGATTTTACATATTCATAAATCACAGGTAATGAACAGTTTTTCTCCCTTGGTTTTTATTTATGAGCCTTTTAAAATTCTCTCATTCTGCTGGCAGCGTAAAGGCCAACAGATGGTCAATCTAGATGGAAATTAGAGGACAGGGGGTGACGCTTGTGTACGTGTTTTTAGTGGCAAACGTGTGTTTTGGTTCCGAGAATTTAAGAAACAGTTGCGTATTTCAACCAGCCAGCCTTCCTTCTGGTATGAATCACAGAATAATACAGTATTTTAAATCGTCATCTATTTAAATAAAATCCATAGAGATGATGATAAACATCTAATATAAAATTGGGACAATATTTTTAAGAATTGAAAGTTAAATTGTGTTGTTATTTTAGTATCACTGCATTTCTGGATTTTTTGTGAACAGAAATTCAGTAATACTAGTTGTAATTTACCATCATCTGAATGCTTTTGAATTGATTTGCCTCGTTTTTCGTTATCCTGGTGTTTATATATGAAGAAGCTTATCTGGTGGTACCAGAATTTGACACCAGATGGCAGGAGGATGTAGACTGGAATCATTCTTCTCGGATGGCGTCTGGTGGCGGGCTGTCGTAAAGACGTTGATGAATAATCGAGTTTTGTAAAAAGTTGAAGAATTTGTTGACATTCGGACTTGCAGGGACTCTGCTGCGTGAAATTATGATTGTGGTCAACAATGACATTTCTAGGAATGTATTTATCTGATAAATTTTAAATGTTATTTAAATGAGCTTCGGCCTCAAAGGGTTACATTTTCTTATATGTCTTCGGTGTTTTTGTTGCAAGCTTGATACCGTGTTTTTCGTCAACTGTACTATTGCAAAATCCGATGTTGTCAAGTTTTTCGATTTTATTGTGCAGCGCGTTTATATTTCTTGAATATGCAACCGCGGATTGTTTCTGCTGTTGTGTGTGAACAGCAGAGCACAATTAGTGACATTCAAATTTGTAACGCAAATGCAATTAATCTGGTGTGCGGCGTTGGGGCGTAGGCGATCCAGAGGTGAAAGTTCATGTGTACTTCCTGTCTCGCAAACCACGTGAAAACACACACACACACATTATTACCCTCGAAAACGGCTTTCTAATGGGTTATCTACTTTAATATAGGCTATAGTAATTATGTATTTTGCCCACAGAACGTATTTATGCGTCCCTTATGTTTCTCCACTTTCGAACGCTTTACCTTCTGTATGACCTGCCTTTGTCAGAAGGACGAGTGGGCACTGCCCGGGAACCTTCATATCCTGAAATTCTTCCCCTCCCCTCCCCCCCGAATTAAATGTAGTGTTTCCCATTTCTCTCTCACTTTGTATTCTTTCATTCCTAATGCCCTGTAATGTTGAATTACCTTCAGCTTAATTACTGTTTCCACTGCATAAACATGGATAGCACAGAAAGATGGAACATTAAAGAGACCCCTTTTATTTTTTATAGTACAGTCACAAGAACAAATTATTGACCTTTAAATGCGAGTTGTTTTCGTTGACGGTACAGTCGAGTAGCGTTCCCCCGTAATCTCATACCTGTTTTGTTATCATTAGTCTAATGTGGTGACTGTTTACACTTTGGTGTCGTCTTACAGTGCACGTGGAAGAAGGGATGAGGTTGTTTTCTACAGAGCAGTAAAGTATAGGCCGACGGAGGTGGAGGTCAGGAACGTTTTAGTTTACACTTTTTGTTACGTCATTCAGGATGTCGTGTTATTAGCTTCAGGCTCCATGATTCTGTGTCTGCGTCTTTGTATACCGATCTCAACACACGTATTTGTTTGTTGTATTCTCAGGCGGTCATTAAGATTAAGTTTTTTTGTGTCAAGTTCTCGTTTCTTTCATGCAGGCTGTGCGTATAAAAACATATAATTTCTGGCTTTTGTCCATTTAATTACACTGAACGAGTAGCTTTGTATAATCAAATATGGTACACAGTAAAAGGTTCAAAATGTGCGCATTTATCACAAATTAGGCGTGTGCCATATATTTCTTTCTATATTTACCTTTAATTAGTTCTCAAAAAGATCACACGCAACAATTTCTCCAAACTTGTTTCATAAGAGAGTACTTTATGTGTAGGCTGTATTAATTTTGACGAAAAATTCTACATTGTTTATAATTTTAAAAGTCGATATTTGCGTAAACAGTGACAGTTGCACTCGGAGTACTATGACTTGGTTCGTGGTAGTCACTACACACACACACCTGCAAACCACAATCCATGCAACAACGTACATGAGCCCGTTTTTATTGTTTTATAAATATCATGTATAAGTCTGCAGAAATGTACAAAATAGTTGTAATCGATATATCGATCAGAGGTCAGTACTGTAATCGTCTGTTCTCCTCCGATGATGTCTGCCGTGCGTGCTCTTCCTCTGGAGAAGTTCGTGAACCTGTGTGTTGCCGTTGCCGTTGCTAGCTGTTGGCTGAGAGGACTGCATTCGGTAGATGGTCGTGTTGCATCTCATGAGATTGTTGCTGGAGGCGTAGTATTGTGACAGGCGATTGAGGGACCGCTCATTGCTCTCGGAGCCATCCGCCAGGAACAAATAGCAGCATCGGCACAATGTGGCACGCATTCGCGGTATCGCCATCTTTAAGCACAAGAACAGAATTCGCAAAAGTGTAACGTGTCCTTTACATTGAAGATGGCGGTCTTCTGGGTTGTAGCGCAGGCTAAGTCTGGTGGAATATTACAAACGTTTCAGAGGTGACTCAACGCCCCGATGATGGAGGCAGCGAGGACCTCTGTAACGTCGGTAAACTTCTACCAGACTGCACGGCGCAACAATCCAGAAGACCGCCATCTTCAGACTCACCGCCGTGAAAACCTGAAATCGTACTAAGTTATTATCTTAATTGTTATTCTTCGCGACCTTACAGTATGACGTAATTAGTGACACGTGGTCTGACCTTGATCTCGTGCATCCGCGCTGCGTATATGATGGGGTTGATTAAGGTCTTGAAGATCACAAGCAGATTGACGATGGTGTAGATGAAGAACATGACAAACTTGTTGAACGTGTTGAAGTGGAAAAGGCAGTCTTCGCAGAAGAGGAGGTACGACAGCACCGCCGGCATCCAGCCGACGATATACGAACCAAGGATGAAGAGTGTCGTGTGGATCGCCTTGACGCTCCTCGTCAGCTGCTGACTAGTGGACCCAGACGAGCCACGATGCCGGGACCCGTGGTTCATCTGGCTGAGTCGGAGGCGGTTCACTTGGTGTCGACGCACGATCGAGAAGATGTGCATGTATATGACGAACATCAGCACCAAGGGGGCGAAGAACAGGGCGGAGAACACGGCGCGGAACTTGAGATGAAGCATGAAGCTGTGGACACAGACAACATTTGAAAATCGCGTCTGACCGAGGGAGAAAGATCCTATTTCGTTTGATTGCCCTGATTAATTCTGGCGAATCGTTAAGATCCTTCACAATGTACGTACTTTTCTCCATTCTCCAGTTACTTCGTCTCTTTCAGTGGCCACAAACTGGCAGGAGGACCTCAGGATCCTTTCATCCTTTTCTCGGACTGGGACCTGTTCATATACGTTTTTGGCAGATGATCCAGAAGTGGTTTGCCCTTGCCTTCTTCTGTGTGTGAATGGAGTAATTGTTGGGATGCCACGTAGGAAAACTCCGTGTTGCCTAGACCACGGCCTTGCCCAACACAAGTTATAAATTCGGGCACCGCCGGGAATCGAACCCGAGACCCCAGGATTACAAGGCCAGCGTTCTAACCGCTAGACCACCGTACTTTTATCTGAGGCTGACAACAGTGAAGAAGGAATTGAGAACGTTTTCAGATCGTTAAAACTATAATTGTATCGCGTAAAATGTATTTTTTGTTTTCTTTCAAGGTGCCTAGCGATTGGCTGTGCTCCTACAGCGCTCGCGATTGTGTGAAAATATTCTCTTGAGCGCCGTGTTATCACACTCCATTTCCGTTTTTCTACCAGAATGAAAAAGATAACATTTTACAGCCATATACAAACCTTGAATGGATTTGCGTTCATCAATCATCGCGCGCTGATTGTGGTTCTTTTTGCATATTCTACTTGACTTGTTACTTTCTTTCATGTAAATAAGTGCCTTCAAAGTTAGTGAGATTTATAAATCAAATTATTTTTGTAATAAGTTCGTACGCATTTCTCGTTATGCGGCCATTTGTAAACGTCATACGTTCCCGCTGTCTGTGATAATACTTCAAGGGACAAAAGAGTTCTGTGCAGATTCCACTGACAGATTGTAATCTGTCAGCGTAATAAATTTTATGTATTCCCGTCGTGAAATCGAAACTAGAAATTACCCTAACAAGTCTGTATATCTTTTTAAACAAACGATCAGAATGGTCGAATTTGTTTAGGATACGTCGATTATGGAAAATTTTAAGTGACGGGACAGTGGGTTGACGTATGTACCGAATTTAATTGAAATCGGTGGCTAGGCTTTGGATAAAACTTTGTCGTCTTGCGGAATCAAGTTTCGAACAAAATAACTGTGCGTTTTGTATGTTCGAAAATACACAAATTTTGTGGATGTCTAATTTTCTGATTTCTTTGTTTTTGTTGTCTCTTTGTTTGGGGTTTTTCTGGAGTACCATATTGAGATTCTAGCAGCGATGCCCCTTTGTGTCAATATGACTGTCAAACCTATCTTTTGAAACAATTAACGTTACTTTCTGCAACTTTGCTCTCCAGTTGTTCTTGTCTTATCTTCTGTGAGCCTGTGTGTTTAAGATTAAAACAGACAGTCTTGATGGATTCCCTATGGACGACTGGCAGGCAGGCCATTTGTAACAGCTGGTACTTAAGCACGGAGAAATGTAATCCTGTCAGCAAAGTATGTAGGTTCATAATGAACTGTTCGAGTTTGGTACTCGTGGGAGGAATATCTGGTTCGAATCCCGGGCAGGTTATATGGACTGTTTGCAGTATGACCATAATCGTGTTTTACGGCGTGAAATGAGGTTTATGCACGTTCAAGGATCTGTGTCCAAAGCTCTCTCCTTTACGTTCGTTTTCCCAATTTTATTCGTCGAATGCGTCAACCCATATTTACCCCCTCGTACACGTTGATATTTTTCGAGAAAATACTCACTCTATTGCAGTGCAGTTTTGCGACTGAAATCCTTGTCCATCTACAGTCGAGAAGTAGACGACAAAGTAGCTGATGGGGAGAATCCAGAGTAGAACGATGCACGTGGTCGTGTTTCTGTGCGTCATGATGGACAGGTAGTGCAGTGGGCGAAGTATTCCCAGGTAGTGGTTGCACGCGAGTGCCAGAAGGTGCGCCACTGTCACGATCACGCCGCCCAATCTTTGCGTCTCCAGGAACAGCGCGAAACATTCATTTTGAAATCTGATTCCTAATCCGACAGGCAGGAGACTGTTGACCACCAGACCAATTGCGAGTATCAGTGACGTATAGGCGTCTGCCCCCGCTAGACTCAGGCTGATGTGTAACGTGGGCGACAGAGGTCGGCGGATCCAATAGATGGTAATTAAAATCCGGACGTTAATTGCCAGCGAGATGATGCAGAACGTCAGCAGAGCCGGAACAGTGTACTTGTACATTGTCTTAATCGTGTCGTCGTTGCTACTAACATTGTCGTTGCTGTGGTTCAAATAAGAGGACGACTCGTTGTCATGGTGATCCCAGATGGAGTGGCTTTGTTTCTCTGCGTCGGGTTGGTCAGTTGTTGGCCAGAGATGCATCGTGGGGCGTGGATTGGCGTCACTGGACCACCATCCTAAGTCACGTCATTCCATGGACGTTCTTCTCCATTGACGTGTACCTAAACCAATGAGAATGGAAAATTTGTTATTACAACGTGTCGTTGAACGCTGAGAGTGATGAATATTAATTATGTACATAATTTAACAGCTGGATACACGGCTGACTCCAAGTAACTGACTGCGTCTTTGATGTCCTGGTGTTGACTTAGCTAGGCGACGAATTCTTAGTATCCTGGAACTAGGGGGTTCATTACCGTGTTCACAATACCTAGGACGGTGATGCCAATGCATACAAAATTTTGTTGGGGAAACTTTGTGTAGAAGTTGTGTTGCACCCAGTGGCTTATGCAGTTCACTCGCCTGATTTCTGAAATTATGTAATTTTGCTTACTTTGATGTGGTTAGAAGAATGGATTCGTGTTTCACATTGCAGTGTAATTTCACTTTTTATCTCCGTGTGTTTTAGTATAAACTAATTACTTTGTAATTATAAGCGTATGATAGGATCGTTTAATTAAATAAGCTGCGTTTGGTCGGAGTAGATACAGACTGATTAATAACCCTCAACTTTCAAAACTAATGTAGTGAAATCAGAAGCCTGCGGTTAATTCAGTTGAAACCTTTTGAAATAATTCGTTTAACTTAATTGGACAGAGTTCATTTATTTGGTAACGAGAGTAACAAATCAAAATTATATTCATGACGAAATTAAGGGCAGATTAAATTGAAGAAAGAATATTCCATCTTCCAATTTCCCATCAAAAATTCTGTAGACTGGATATGACGTGAATAGTCTGGATGGGGCTGAATGTGTATATTAACACACACGACTTCATGTACCTGAGGCAGCTGATACGTGTACAGACCGTCAATTGTTTTGTTGTTTGTTGGGGGCAGGGATCGAATCTGGATCCTGTGGATACCTACCTACCCATCTGATATATCAGTAACATCTCTGGCGTCTGGTGCATGGTTCCCTTTGTATAAATTATCGAGTTAATGTAATGTAATAATTAATTAGTACGCTGAGCAATTTAGTACAGTGTAATTTCTGTATTGCATAATAGTTTTCAGTTTTGTCGAAATATAATTAGCTCATGTCCCACGACGCAGTTTACATGTCAGTTTGAAATTACGTAAACAGCGTTAACCAGCCGATCTTTGTAATGGTTAAGTGTTTGTAACATTTTGTCGGAAATTGTGAAGGAAGGAAAACCTTTGGGAAACCTAGGGATAGATGGGCGAATAATGTCAAGGTGGATCTAACGCCGGTGCGAGAGCGTTGATTGGATTTATCTGGCTTAGGATAGGTTCCCGTGGGAAAACTAATGAACCACCGGGTTTTGATTAGGTGGTCTACTAACAGCTTCTGAAGAAAAACTTCGATCTGTGGGGTTTGTTAATGTTGTTTTTTAAAGTCGTAATAGTTTTGAGTGAATTCTCATAGGACGTTTTCAGCGTCTCATTGTGTGGGCGGGCACACAGCAAGCTGGCTTATTGTGGACACTGGCGTGGTGTAATTCATTACGTACACTAGGAGACAGACACAGTTTTATTTGATTTTCTGTTGTGGGAACTCGCTCTAATATTTACATGATACCAGGACGAAGTGTGTTTAATTTAATTACATCGTAGATGTTACGTGTCATTAGTGAAGCTTGAAACAAGTTCCATTTGGGCTTCCGTGACGTTTCTACTGCACTAAGCAAGTGTTTTAATGAACTCTTTGAGAAGCTAATAGTAAATTCACTGTTTAAGGTTCATTACCATGCTGGACACTATCGTGAGCCAGATGAATCCAATCCAAACCTTCCAACACAATTTCACCGAACGTAGTGGACGAGTGGTTAGCACTCCTGGTTCGTATTCGTTAGGTCCCAGGTACAAATCTCTTTTCTCTTTGAAATGGAGTGATGTCTGAATATGGTTAAAATTACACTGGTTAAGAAATGGTAACCACTGCGTGCTGCTTCCCGTCTGGTTCTTTGGACCAGTGCGGTATTTCGCGTAATACAGTTTCCCGGTTTTGCGAGTTTCGTTTTAAGCAACTTTACAGATCTGAATGATCTCTGTTACAGTGTCGCTGTGAATACGTCCGTCCGTTCTTCTAAAAAAAATATTAGACTTTGCTCTGAATGATGTCTGTGACATTTAGTCTGTTTACAGGCAAATGTCGCAAATCATGTGTGTTTGTATTCTTTTCAGAATTCATTTGATCTCTGTGTGGTCCGTATCGTAGATATAATTTCTGTGGTCGGACGATGTGTATTAAATTAAATGTCATCCCTGCGAGCAGAAGTCGACAGTCACTGACATTGTACAGACAATTTCTATGATTTATGTGGCACATGTGGTCCAGGGGTGACCGGCCTTTGTACTGACACTTGTCATACACTGACGTCTGTGTACCTGACCTTTGTAATTCCGATGGCAGATCCGGATGTCTTTGTGTAACGGTTGGTACTTCTGAATTTCGAAGGCCCATTGTTTCATTGTCGGCCAGAGCCTTTAATTTGTTCGACGGTGCGAAGTTTCCTCTGCAAGGGAGAGATTTCAGGTTTTCAATGTGACTCGACTCCTACTGCTTTAAATGTGTCATATTTTGTTGCGCTTTGTAGTGTGATAGAAATTGACCGACGTTTTAGGGGTGACTATGGCCTCCATTATCAGTTCGATGAGATAGAATCCCAGAAGACAGCCATATTCATATTCACCGTGAGAATCTGAAATCTCACCAAACTGAAACTCGCCCATTCTTCACCGGGTTTACCAGAAACAGTCATACATTGCCCTAAACTCTGTAGTTATTACGTGTTTGAACTTACACCCGCGATGACATTATTTCTCCTGAAGATTTCTGTCTTCTGGGTTGTTGCGCTGTGTAGTCTGGTCGATGTTAACCAACGTTTCAGAGGTTCTTGCTGCCTCCATCATCAGGGCGATGAGTCTGAAGATTTCTGTCTTCTGGGTTGTTGCGCTGTGTAGTCTGGTCGATGTTTACCGACGTTTCAGAGGTCATACTGCCTCCATCATCAGGGCGATAAATGATATAATGATATTCATCTTCAGACTCACCGCTGTGAAAACCTCAAATCTTACATTATTTCTCCTGTTGCGTTTGAGAAACTAAAACTCGTATTAATAATCTTTCAAGATGGCTGAGGACCGGACAAAGTTTTCTCGCGGGCCACAGTTGGCCTGTCTCTGATCTAGATGCAGAGAGGATGGCATCAGTCGGACAGGGGAAACAAACTGGACTAATTAGAAAAACAAACACACGGCGTCACGTACCGTCGGAAGTCAGGGCTCCTTTTAATATACTTGTGTTAGATAAGGGATTTCTGTAATGGACGGCTTGTTTACGTATCCTTTGACACACACACACACACACGAGATGTTCATTTGATTACTGGACGACACGGCTTTGACGCACAAACGCGTCGTGCGTAAAACAACCGCTTCAATTCGTTTTGCGTCATTGCCCTGCGTCACGCGCGGCATGAAACAAAAATGGAGTATAATTTTGTCATTCATTGGTTCTGTGAATTTAACTCATGTACCTGTGATATTTAGCAGCTAAGCTTTCTTCGTACTTTGGTAAAATCCCGTTCAGATTCAACGGGGATGGATTATTTCGTGTGGCAATCCACCACTCCATTTCCTCTTTGTATCCCTTCCAAATATTTATCATCTCTCCCGTGTTCATCCTCGACCCTCCTCATTCATCGTTTCTTCCGCAACCTTCTGCTTAGTTTGCGTATTATCTTAACTGAAACTAATTGAGCCTATCTTAATTTTTTACACTTATTTCTTAAGCAAATTCATAATGTGAAAATATGTACATTTTCCTTCACACAGAATTTCATTAATTTCAGAAATTGCTGGTTAAATGCAATTATCCTAATATAACACATCTGCTTTTTACCTTACTGCAAAATCTTCACATTAAACAGGTTTATACCCAAATTTCTTCATGTAATAACGGGCCTTTATAGTATCCGTCACGTGGAACCATTTCATTTAAACCAACTTACTGAATGTCGTATCCATATTCTTCTTTTTCTTATTTTGTATCGAAGATTAGGCTTCCAGGACTTAACAGAGATTAAAAGCTTGTGTGACCATCTCTGCTCTGGTCTTCCCACGTATTTCTTCCTTTAGGTCTGGTATGGTATGCCATTTTGGGAAATCGCGTTATCCGTTCTCAGTAGACTGCGCTTCCAAAGTAATTAAAATCTTGCAGAATGTTCCACGATGCTGCATTCTGTGAGTTTATTCATGTTATATCTGATAAGTTCTGTTTCCTGAAACCCCAACCTTTTTTAAGGCCCATGTTTTAGATCCAGATTTTATGAAGTTCAAATTGTAAATTTCTTGACACGTTCTTTCCAAAATTCTGACCGACATGTGTTCCACTCATTTCATCGATAGTGTTAATTTTAAAATCCGTGCCCGCTTTTCTGATATTGAATGTTCTGTTGATATCATTAATGTTTGTAACGCTGTTTAAGGGAATAATCGCTGTTTACAGCGAGAATGGTACAAAATGCAGTTACTGATTTTCAAAGCAGGTTGTACGTACATTTTCCACTTGGTTAAAATGAGTGTGGAAATTAGGAGTCGAAAATTCTTTCTACAGTTTCTTGTTCGAGCCGCTGAAGCTCGCGGCATTACAACGAGGAAGCATCATTTTTATTTAATATGTCACGGTCTTCACGCACTGTGCATTCAGTGGAATGTCATCCGATCTAACATGACATCTCTTAATGGCGAAGTCCACTTAGAATACGAACACTTTGCCGAGACGTATGTTTCACCTTGTCAAACGGGAGATTAATTCATTGGTTCCCTGCAACGCCTGTGCAAGCTGTTATGCCGCTGTTAAAAGTTATCCGCTCGCGAAGCTAACAAGACTAGTATTTACGTCATCAGATCAACATAAAATTGCCCGTTAAGGATTCCTAAACAACTTTACATATTAATTCATTCTTCTTGAAGGCATTTTGGTTATAGGTAATGAGACTTTTAGAGATTATAGCCTTCTGCAACCAAGGATAAT